GCACAAATAAATATTATTCATTCTATACAATATTTTTCCTTGCTGCATAATTTATGTTGTTTTGAATTGAAGAATGTAAAGTGAATTAGTATGTGCTTACCTCTGGGAGTAACTGGAAGCAAAAAGCTTGGGACTTACTGTTGAAAAGGCCTCAGGCAGAGAGAAACTTTTTAAAAACAATTACCTTAGTACACTATTCTCTATTGTGTCCTGAAGCTCTTCCAGATTGGAGGACGTTCCCACCATAGAAAACCAATTCTTCATAGCAAGCAATGCCAGATAGGCTTCCTTCTGAATTTAAGCGGATCCACCACTGATCTGTTGTTTCTGCTTGTTAAGTAATATGAGCATTGCATGGTTTAGAGTCCTCATTTCTCTGCTTCTGCTGCTATGAAATGAGAACTTAAAATGTAACCAGTATTGGCTCTTTCTTTAAAGGTAAGCATCTGCTTGGAATGCAACAGTAGCAAATTGCGTGGATTGAAGAGGAAGTGGATTCGTTGCTCAGCACAAGCTACAGTCTTGCATCTAAAGAAGTTCATTGCCAAAAAACTTAATCTTTCTTCATTTAATGAGGTAATCAATGCTGATAGAGTAGAACAAAAAAAGAACGAAAAAAGTGTGGCTGATTTTTTTTTAAAAAATAATAATTGTGTAACTTTTTTTTTCTTAAAAAGTCATATTAAATCCTTAGAGTTGGTTGCTTTTTCCTGAAACAGAATTGCTGTTTCAGTCACTTAACTGATGTATAATAAATGAAGCAGTGCTTTAAAAGATATTAAGCTTTTAAAATATGATTCTGAAGCTTCCCAGTATTCCTTAGTTTGCACTTGAAGCATTAATGTAAATATATCTAGTGAGAAAAATTTGTGGGGAGACCTTTAGCGGAGAAGTGTTTAAAATTGACAGTGTACTCTCTTTCTGCAGAACAAGCAAGTGCCTTCAGCCCTTTATATGAATTCTGAAGGTCACATAATTTCCTTAAAAATAAAAAAGTTGCCAGTTTAAACTTTAGGATTTCAAATTACATATGTATTGTGGATGGATTATGAAAGAAATGATGTAAACTTTCAGTGCAAATAATTGAAGAATAATTTGTTACAACTAATGTCTGCTAAAATGCCATGCATTTATTTAAATAATATCTTGGAAAGCCAGCTGCCTAATAAAAGAGCTAATAAAAGAGAATATTTGTAGCTCAGGGTTAATATGTGTGGTCTCTAAGACCACACCCACCAACGCTGACAGGCAAGCCACTAGAATATAAACTGATAGCAAACTGTACTTTTTACTAGCACTGATGATGTTACCTAGTTTGGTAATGAAATGTCTGCTAGACAACAAGCACGCTCAGAGTATCAAGCACGCTCAGAGTACAGAGTACCTCATGTCTAGGTTATTTGCTATATTTAGTGCAAGGAAATTGAGTTTCATCCGTTTTTTATTAGCATATAAACACACTTTACATTTGAGGAAAAGTCTTGTCTGATTCTTACCTGGCAATATACTAGGGCTTTTGAGTAAGATGCAGCCTGTTTGGTATAGTGGTTTAAAGTGGTTAAAGAACCAGGCTAGAAATTGAGAGGCCATGAGTTCTAGTCCCTTGTTAGGTACAAAGCCAGATGGGTGACCTTGGGCCAGTCACTCCTTTCAAGCCCTAAAAAGAAGGCAATGACAAGCTTTGCCAAGAAAATTCCAGGGACTTGTCCAGCCAATTGCCAGGAGTCAACACTGCCTTGAAAGCCCCAAAATGTTCTAAGACATGTTAATGAAGATCTGTTAATTAACATGCAGAGACTCTTTGTTTCTTTGGAAAATCAACTTGAAGTCAAGAAAATAGCTCTCAGTACAATGATTTTGAAAAAATCAGGGATTCTATGAAAGGCAGAAAGATTTTGGCTGTGTCATAGCACAATTCAACCTGCATTTGATTTGCAGGCTTGACAAAGAACACACACACACACACACACACACACACAGTTTAATATGATCTATTGATAAATGTAAGGTTTCCTCTTACTGTTTTTTTCCATTGAAAATGTTCACTCAGGCATATCTCAAAGTTTTCTCTTTTTTCCCCACTTAGACTATGGTGGAACAAGCTCACTTTGATCTGTATCAGTATATCTTGGTCTTGGCAATTTTGAGATGTGTGGACTTCAACTCCCAGAATTAATCAACCAGCAACGGCAAGTTGAAGTCTACACATCTTAGCATTGCCAAAGTTGAGAAAGACTCATCTAAATGCTTGCATGTCTTGAAACATTCCAGTTCATTAGAAATTTCACCAAATTAGAAATTTGGTTTCTCTAGTCTATTTCTGATAACTTGTTAATGTGTGGTGAGCATGTTCACAAATACGAGAAGGATTTGGGGTTGTTTCCTTACTTAGAGAAGCAGTTCTACTTTAGTAATTTGGAACAGATGGGCAGTAAAAATGGTTCAAAAGGATTTCTATAATTTAATATCTAAATTATTCTCTTACTGATCATTAATCTGATTCAGGGACAGTGTTTATTTCAGATAAAATAACTGCCTATTCATCCTGGACCACAGGTTTTGTTTTTATTTTACTTTGTGAATTTAAGAGACTTGAGAGAGTCAAGGCTGGTTTGGTAGCTCTTTGGAAGTGGGAATGAAGTTCTAGTCCCTGTTGGAAGAATCCTGAAAGAAAAGATTTTCCAATCATTGGGCAATATATGCTTTTTTTGGTGGTATCTGGCAAATTGTGATCAGAACCTTTGGAGTGTGAGGATTTTAAGTGTAAAATGTAGTATCAGCAACTGATGGAACAGAAGGAGAAAATAAATGTGAAACCATTTACGTGTCAAGTAGAACATCTGCTATTTTTTGAGGGCATACATAGGTTATAGCTGAAATAGCTGTTATGTGAGGTTTTTGATTTTCATGAGATCAGACTGGCTTAAAAATTAAAAACAGGCAAAAAAATTCACATCTGAAGGGACACTTATTTCTAACATTTTCTGTTTGTTATTGCTTGTAACTTGCCTATTTGGAAATAATCATTCCCTGGATAGCTAATTAAATTAGCCTCCATGTATCCTATATAGAATCCTATCAGGAGCTCATTTTTCTTAACTACCAGTTTTAGAATTCATTTTCTCAGGCCTTCATGTCCAGGTTTTTCAAACAATGATACTCAGAACTTGCACATGTTCACTTTGTTAATTTTCTCAATCTGGATTTAGTTAATTTCTATAAGGCCAGAATATCTGGTCTTTTTTAGATTATGGAGCAGATGGTGATCCAGCAGAGTGAAGAGTGAAGTTTATGCCCTGAAATAACTCTGCATCTCCTGTAAGTGCTGAAATTTTATCTCCCACCCACCAGGCAAATTAAATGATAGAATATACATATTATTCAGCTTGCAGCCTGTTGGTTAGAACTAAAACCCTAGCTGAGTTTACAGTATTGGAAAACTCCAGAAACCTGAAGAGATTCTGGGAGGCCATATTTGAATTGTAGTATCCTACCATTTCATGTCGTTAAAAACAAAAGAAAACTCGTTTTAATTGCATCATTATTTGGATTCCCTAAATCAATCTCTTTAGTAAAAATATAATTTTTTTGTTTCTTTTATCAGCTGGATATATTATGCAATGAAGAAATTCTGGGCAAGGACCATACTCTCAAATTTGTAGTTGTTACAAGATGGAGATTTAAGGTATGGAGCACCGATAATTGATTGATGCACTTAATATTTTCCATTTGAAACTCTAAACCAGTGGTGGCGAACCTATGGCATGTGTGCTAGAGGCGGCACTCGGAGCCCTCTCTGTGGGCACACGTACCTTTGCCCCAGCCTCGCCTCCCCCCACGACCCCCTCTTCACCAGCAGCCCCCCTGGAGGAGAGTTGCCCCCGAGCGTGGCCCACATGGAGCAGCGCAGCCAAGGACATGGCAGCCAGGCAGTGTAGACAAGACTCTGCCCTCATGCCCCACCCCACACAATTGATGCTGCGGGGCGCGGGCAGAGGGCGTGGCCGCCATGGCGCTGCTGGGCTGCCTGGGCGATCTGCGGCGGGCCCTGAAAGCGGTGAGTGGCCCTGCAGGCAGGTGGGGTGGGGGCGGGGCGGGGGTGGAGCAAAGGCGGGGCCAGTGTTTGGGCACTCGGTCTCTAAAAGGTTCGCCATCACTGCTCTAAATCTTTACTTTATCATTCATAAAGATATAACTGATGCCCTGATTCCTTGTGGTCCTTTTCATGATCGCAGGTCAGAAATTATCTTACTGTTTTATTTTAGCTTGGGCAGGAAAATAAAGGGAGGTGCTAGGCTTTGGGACATTTTCGCTTTGGGCAAGGATAGAGATAGTGTCTGCCAAAAACTTCAGACCAGAAATGTCCAGTTTCCCCACCAAGGGTTAGCCCTGCAGAACCTGCTGAGATATTGAGACTGAGGGTTACTCTGTCTCCTGGGCCATCAGTTGTGGGCATTTAGTGTCCTAAATGAAGGTTAAGCTTAAAAACATGTTGGTTTGTTTATTAATGGTCTGCATCGGAGAGTTCCTCAAGCAATTATATTTATTTTTCAGAAAGCACCTCTACTGCTACATTACAGACCGAAAATGGACTTGCTGTAAGAACTGTTTTGTCCTTGTGGACGGTTTTTTGCAGAGACTATCATCAGGCACCTTCTTAGTGCATCATTACTCAATTCACTCGTGACATAGACCAGCAAAATCCATCCCTGAAAACAGTAGTACTTTCTCACTCCGCCATTCTGAATATTTCTCTAAGAGATGCATTAAACTCAACTTTCAGGACAGTAAAAAAATATTTATACTATTTTCTACAAAAAAAAAAAAAAAGGAAAGTGCAGTTTGAACGGACACTACCAGCATGATGTTTACAGACATTGAAAGCACTTCACAGTTCCCTCTGTGTAGCTCAGTTCTTGGTCATCATCTTGAAAGATGCAAAATAGGTTAAAATGTAGGGAAGGAGATAATTTTCAATTTGTTGTCACCAAGCAGCTCTTGGATTCTTTTGCAACTTAGCTTAAACATAGCCCTTCCTTCCTTCCTTCCTTCCTTCCTTCCTTCCTTCCTTCCTTCCTTCCTTCCTTCCTTCCTTCCTTCCTTCCTTCCTTCCTTCCTTCCTTCCTTCCTTCCTTCCTTCCTTCCTTCCTTCCTTCCTTTCCTCCCTCCCTCCCACCCACCCACCCACCCACCCGGTATTCTGTCTCTTAAACCTCATGGGCATCTTATTGATTATTAAGCCCTTCATAGTATTTAACATTGAAAAAAAAGATGTAATGGTTGGCAGTGACTTGCTATTATGATACAGTTCTGGGTTCTGCTCCTTTGTTCCTCTGCTGATTCATTTGAGGGAGGTATTGGAATGAGTGATTTCCATTTTATTTCAGTTTTATCAGATCACACAAATGGTTGAGCATTTAGGGGGAGGAAAAGATCCTTTTTCTGTAATATGTGTGACTTACATAGCTGGGGCAGAAACGGGGATTTCCTGTTCTGAAAATGAAATAAGCCTTTAGCAGCCTTAACTACTTGAACTCCAGTATTGTTCTTTTGAACAACACACAATACTAATGCTGGAGCATGCATTCTGTGACAAGCATGCGTTCACTGACCTTTCCTGCTGGGTTCTAGCTTCTGTAAGAAGACCATTGTGTTTGCCTAATTCTCTACTTGAACTATCTTTATGTGTTCGGATTTAGTTGGCACTATGGTACGTTTGGGCCTTAACCTATAAATCTATTTATTTTTAAATCCAGCCCCCAAGGGATTGATTTCTCCCTCTAGACTATGTAAGTGCACTTTCTCTAAGTAGAGGTGGGAACGATGTGTGAAGATCAATGTTGCTTTCCCTTTAATATCTTAAGGTTGTTTTTTGTTTTTTTGTTTGTTTTAAAAAAGGTTGCATTCAGTGGTGGTGTTGCAAGTATGGACCATGCAAAATATATGTTGTTCTTCATCTGGACAGGATATGTAAGCCTCTTTCATCTGGGAGAACCACGTCATTGATTTTAAATACTCCACAGTGTGTTCAAAAATGCATGCGCATACTCCTTGTTGCATGTATGTAGGCATGTTTTCTGTGTCTCTCTTCCATATGCACATACATATGAAGAGGCACAAGTATTCTTTGCATGAACACAAGTCTGCTTTTCCTCCATTGGACACCAGTTTGGATGGGATATGACCAGAACAGGGTAGAAGTTGCTGCTGAGAAGGATTGCTGAGAGGGTGTATTTTTTTAAAAAATTTCTCAAGCCTTTTCTCTTTGATGCAGAAGGTTGCCTTTACGCTGTCTTACTAGCTCTGTTGCTGTTGATTGAACAGGTCCTTGGACAGAAGCAGAGGATAGCCCAACGAGGGTGGGTTATAATGGCTGAGTTTCAGAGAGAGATCACTAGGAAGATGGAAGCTTTCTCCATTCTTTGTGAAAGTCACTTCCATTTGGAGGTTTGTGTTCTGATGGTGATTATTCAGGATTGGTAGCAATTTGCTAGTGTTTGTTTCTTGTCCTTTGGAATATCCTTGCTCTGCAGGCGTGCCTCACAGGGAATCTTTCCTATAGGGAGCAAGCCTCAGCAGAATATAAAAAAAGATACATGACAGGGGTGTGAGTGAGTGGACAAACCCGAATAAGTACAGGGATGGGGCAGGAAACAATTGCAAATGAGTAAATGCAAATGTGAGGCAAGGAAGAGTTCTTTTCATACCGTTCAGTGATTTTTAGACATCGGTAATACATATTTAGTTAAGCTATTAGATCTCATTTTTTTTCTGGAATGAATTGTCCTCACACCGTGGAAACCCCTGATAATTTCTGTTAGAAGGAGAAAAAAACGCATTCCTTTCATAACGCTGATTATTTCCTGTATATCAGCTGAAGTTAAAAGGGTCACATTTTTGTAAAACACCAACTAGCTTCTCCTGTCGGCAGCACATGGGTATGTTAGGAGCCCATCTCTCCCTGAGTTATTTTCCTTCTCTAATTTCATAACGATAAATTAGATGGAAATCAAAAGAAAGGAACAAAGGAGTAACAGGAGAAGTTGGAGAAAAGTACGAGGGGTCAGCTTGCACATTAGCCGTGGACGTGGGAACGGAGGGCAACCTTTTGATAGAGAGCGTTCTGCGCATGTCTTGTGGCGGTGAGCTAGAGTTGTGGGAAAAAAAGAAAGAAAAAGAGTACATCACACACCTTAAAAGCAATTTTCCACTCTCCGTATGAGATGAATACGAGTGCACTGGCACCTCTTGTAACATTTGCACTCATTTAAGTGGGGCGTGTTGCAGGAGATTTTTCTACTAGTAAGTGCGCTTAAAAGGTAATAGTTCTTAATTATATAAAATTTGTACAATAAGTAAGTGCTTACTAATGATAGATGATTGCTCACCATTATTCTGGAAAATATCAGATGAGATACAAATAAAATGGTTAGGGAATGGAAGAAGACACCTTTATTGAATTGGGGGGGGGGGAAGGGCTGTATGAAAATGTGCCAGGCTGCCGTAAATAGGACAGCCTTTAAAAATTCCCCGTCTTCTCCTTTTGCAGGTCACCAGGTGCTATCTGAACACATCCTGGCTAACAGTGTTTAGTGAGCCTTAAATTTAGCCAGCCTGTTGAACACCCATTTGATTCAGGCTTTCCCAAGCTTCTGCTCTCTAGACAAAGCCAGCGGGCTTGATGAGGGTTTTATTTCAACACATTTATTTCAAGAACACCAGGTTAGGGAGAAGTGCGTTAAACCTTTAGAGGGTATAATGACCTTGTGCAACTATTAACTCTACCTCAGAATAGATACACAGCTGAATTGTTCCACCAATGCCATCTTAAAATGCAGAATACAACACCCTCCTCCCCTGTTGCATAATTTAAACTGAGGGATTAAATAGTATTAAGGTGCAAACTGTAACTCCACAAACACTTGGCTGCAGCGGTTTACGGAACCCGCACTGCTACGTTTCTTAGCAAGTTTTTGAATCACTTGAATTTGATATGGTGCTATATTACTACATTATATAATCAGGTGCATGAAACAAAAGCCAGCTGTTGACACCCAGGCTGGTTTTATCACTCATAGATGATTATTTTCTAACAGCCTGACGACGGTGGCAGAAAATACTTTTTTTTTAAAAAAAGAATTTTTGTTTTCCTTCTAAACAGTTTCTCAGAATATTTCTTCTCCTATGGAAACGGCATCCTTTGGGGATTATTAGTTTCAAAGGCCTGTCTTGTTTTATCAGAAAAACGATGGTTAATACCAGTAGAACAGATTCTTGTTATATCAGCTGTCTCTCTTCTGTGAAGCTTTTAAGGGGCAGGTTGCACAATGATTTGGGTGGGGAAACATTATGTTGATTTTTCTGGCTTTAGGTCTTCACTTCTACCATAAGTGGCTTGGAGTTGCTCTGGCCACATTAAGTTTGTCTAGATTGATTAAGTGATAAATAATTAACTGTGAAGTAATTTCTGTTCTTTGTTTTAATTAACTGCTTACCACTGGTAAACGAAAGCAGTCAAATGGTCTTGTTGCATTATCTTTAGCAACAAAAAGACAGGACGAGGCAGGCTGATGGTCTCGCTTGGTATAATTTTCTTTTTAAGATAGAGAAATCAGAATATATAATATTGAATTTTAAATAAGATGGGGGGGTTGAGAAGTTAACTTTATAAAATTATTTATTCTATTTTAAGCTTTTTCTCTCTTACTTTTTACCATCTTAAGTATTTTTTTTATTATTATTTTTACTTTTTTTGGGTTTCGATGGTCCAGCTTTATTTATGGGCATATAAAATGAAATTGTGAGATGTTTTTTACAAGCTTCTTCCTTCCTTTTGTGAGGGGCCAAATCAGATTTTGCACTAAATGAGGGTCTCCTACCAAAAAAACGGCACCTGTCTGCCTGTTTTCCACCTGTTCTAAGGTCTGAGGTAAAGAGCGTGGGTTATCTTTACAATTCTGTATTTCTTTCCCATCACTTCTGAGGGAGAAAAGCTCTGAGAACTTTGTAACTTAAATCCTGGGTAAGTTTAATGAGACGTTGTAAAGCAGCAAACAAACATAGAACAGTGATTGGCTACCATACTTGCCACATTTAGTGTAATTTTAGTTTGGCCCCATTTATTCTTATTATTATTTTAAAAAATGGTATGTTTTTGTATGGATAAGGAGAGCATTACTTTATGCTTTTTGTGCAATAGGTTGGAAACATGCTTCTGTTAGGCATACTTTTTAAATGGTAAATGTAGCATTGACTAACTGCAGTTTGGAGAAAAATGATGTAGGTAGTTTTAAGTTTACATTCAAATGGGATCTCCTTCCTTCTCCCTTTTCTTGGGATTTTAAAGAGTGACAAATGGGGAGTTGTTCCTGTGTGCAAGAACTACCTGTCAGCAATATTTTAACAGCGATCTGGCAAGACCTCTTCAATGTGAACCGTGGAAACTTGCAGCCTATCAGAAATGTTTCTTGTGTGCCATTGGTATGTCTGGTATTTCTCATAATGATACCATTGAACTTGGAAATATTTATTTCTTTGCGGTTGTGCAATGCTCTAGACACAATCTCTTATGTTCTGGGAGTAATACAGTAATTTTAAATATCAGATTACAAACTATGATGGTGCTATTTTTTTTTTCTTCAATTGGAATTGAGCTTTTGGAAAGTTTATCTGGCTCCTGTTGTTTTCATAACGATTTAATTAATCTTTGGGAAATTTACTGTCTTACTTCTTTTCCAGTGGATGGCAGACTTATTAGCATTAAGTTAATGTTAACCTATTTGCAATTATTTGAAA